AATGGAGCTCGATATTATGTTAGGTATGCTAAAACTCGAATACGGCTGAACCGATTTGACCACTTTTAGTCTTGCAATATTTATGAATGCAGAGGTTGTGGTAAAGATGAGAAATTATTTCAAAACCTTATAGAAACCTTCAATTTTTTAATTTTTTTTGTAGAAGCTTAATTTAGAACAAAACAATAGAGGGCTGCTCATACGTCAAATGTCAAATGGTTTTGACAGATTATGTTCAATTCAATTTAATTGGATGTGGCATGGGTTGCAGTGGATAAACCATCCATTTAATTTGTATTAGATGCCTCTTTCAGTACATACTTCTACATTCATAATCACTTAGTTATTTTTTATACAGAAGATTTGTAGAAATATTTTTTAGGCTAAATAACGTTTGCCGGGACAGCTGGTATATATATATATATATATATATATATATATACATAATTAAAATAAATTATTAAATTTAATTACTAATCTTAATTAGGTACTAAAAGAACAAGACCTAACACAACACAATCATTATGGAAAACACTTGAAATTTATGAGAAACTAGGGCTTCTGTTTTTATTTACATATTTCATTTTCGAATGTCATTTACGATTAGAACGAGTTGATGTAGGGTCTTAAAATATTAGATAACATTATAGATTATTCAATTTTGAATAAATTTGTCAAACCCATCATTCATATTAATCGAATGGTTTAGAAGTTACAAGAGATATAGTAAATGAATGCTTAAACTATACGAAAGAGCTAAAATAAATAGTAGATCTTTGAAATAGTTTTTAAAGTATACCGAGTTGATCAAGAATCGTTTATTATATAGAAGAGTTATAGATTCTGTATAATTCTGATTTAATTCTGTATAAATTTGTCTTTTACGTCATTCATATTAATCGAATGGTTTAAAAGTTACCAGATTTGAAATAAAAAAATGCTATATATTCAAAACACAATTCTTATTCATCATTTATCCAACTTGCCTCAAGGCAAAATACCACTTACAACTAGTTCTGATTTTTTCCATCCTGTCTCTGACCTATATCACTAACAAGTCACTTGTGTGACCCTTGAAAATAAGGTCCCAAATATATTTTTTTAATTTCGAAAAGTACTTGAGAGTATTTAAACGGTAGACACATTATTTATAATAAGTATTTCTTTTTCGTATTAATTGTCTGTTAAATGATATTTAACAGAAACCACTTTTGGAGAGATTGGTTTGTTTGGTTAAAGCAGTGAAGGGAAAGATTTATTTAAGGATGAGCTACTTGTAAAAAATATGTAAATATTTAAATGTGTTATTTTTGAAAGATATTTTAATTTATTTTATAAATTAATGCAATTTTTTTCACTATAATTGTCTCACAGGAGAAGTCAATATATTATATTGTCCCAAGTCCTGTGTAAAAAATGTATATTTGTCATAAAAGCGATTTTGAATTATTTTTTTTGCTAAAAAAATTAAATTTTAGAAGCTAAGTTTGTTTACAAATTTTATGCAAAATTTTCTAAGCTACAAATTTTCCAAATAAGCATGTTGAAAAAATTATATAATATATAATTATACCACGTGCCATGTGCAATACTAATATGCGTTTCGTAATCTTACAAAACTTTATTTATTTAAATAATTTGAAATTTAAACCTTTATATTTCGAAGAATTGTGAAAGCTGTAACTACTACAAATACTATTTTGATGTAAAATTTGTAGTTTTTTAAATAATAGCAAAAACGTGAAAAAATATCCAGTAGTTTTAGCAATAAATTACAAACGTTTACCTTATCTCACAAAAACCTACATATTTTTTTTTATAAATAAAGTTATTTTTTCCATAATGAATTTATTAAGCAAATTTATGTAATTTTATAAGCAACAACATTCCCTCAGATAATTTTTCTCTTAAGTTCACAGTTTTATAAATAATTGCAAAAAACTAAAAAAGTGCACTTGATAACTCTCAAGCAACAACCGCAACGTAGTTGCTACGTTTTTGTTTCATTTGTAGACCAACGTTGAAACTTAATTTATTTATAATAATTTTGATTTCGTTAAGCTTTTTTTAAATAGAAATAGAAACAATATTTTGGTAGATAATTTTTGTATAAAATTCAAACTTTTAAGATAATTACAAGAACAGCACAACAACGTAGTTGTTACGTTTATGTGTCGGTTTTAGAACATTAAAACATTTAATATTTTATATTAATTTTTAGTAGTTAATTAAAAGCCTATTAAAATTTAATAAATAATTATAAAAAAATGCACAATAATATTTTTATCAAGTTCTATTTTTGTATGATAAAGTTTTTTTAAATAGGGTTGTCCATCAATGATTCAATGGGAATAAAAAATTTCTCAATACAATTTCTGTTGTGACTTGTTTGAATTATGAATGATTTTTTTTATCTTTTAGATAATTATGTAAACAAGTGATCTACTGTATTTGGGAAAATATTATTCTCAAGTGCTGTTGGGCACTTAAAAAATAATATAAACATTCTCAAGTTGCATTCTACATTCTCAAGTTTTTGAAAATAATTTCCAACACCAGAAAATTATAACAAAAACCATTATAATTATTATTTGTATATATTTATTTTCATTATAATAATTACAAGAACTCCAAAAATAATACAATATTGTTTTAGCATCTAAAAAAAACCAAATTACAATTTTTATATTATATAATATTTAAATATATATTTCTAAATTTAATTTATCGATGAACACATTTATCGATTTGTATATATTTTGGTATAACATTTAAATTATACATAGCAATATATATATATATATTATATATAATATATATATTATAATTAAATAAATATTAACATTTTAATATTTAAATAAATTCTTATAAGTAAACTATACAAGTTCTAAGCTGCATGTGATATTTTTTTATATTATTTAAACAATTTAGTAACAATTGTACTAAATATATATTTATGTATATATACACATAAATATATACATATATATTGTTCATATATATATATATATATATATATATAAATATAAATATGTTTACATATAAACAATTTATTCTTCGATTGTGCAAATCGAACCACAAGTGACTTTGGTATACCCTTATACTTTTAATATAAACAAGATCATTTATTTATTCTATTTATATTACAATTATAATAACTATTTAAAATAAGATATAAATGTCTAAAATATATTACAATTATTTTCTCTTTTTTGCAGATACAAATGAACACAATAATTGCTGACACCGGGACAAAAAGTTGGTAAGTTTGTTACCAATAATTTATATTTTATAATGAAAACACTATTGTTATTATAAAAGAAAGATTTTAATTTGTTTATTAATTATAAATAAATATATATACTAATTGTAGTATAGAAAAAAAAATATTTAAACTTCTTCAGCATAAAAAACACTAGTGCAAGGAATGATCTACATCTTGCAACAAATCCAAAAAACTGTGCTAATTTTTTTTCAAACAATTTCTACATTTTTTGTATGTCGAAATATTTTAAAATATATCTATATATTATATTAAATCCTAAAATGCTCTTGTGATGTAGTTGTTACGTTTCCGTTTCGTTTCCAGACTAACATTAAAAGCTTCACTTTTTTAATATTCATAAAATTTAATCAATAATGTTGTAACAGAAAAAATTCACAATTATTTTATATAAAAATAGGTCAAGTCCTTTCTTCATTCGTACAATATAGTATTTCAAAAAAATGTGACGTAGTTGTTACGCTTTTGTTTCGTTTCCAAATTTAGACAAGATATTAGACAAGAGTAACAAAATTCAATCAATCAATCAATTCAATCAATAATTATAATAAAAAATATTTCCACAATTCTTTTGTATAAAGATCAGTCAGATCCTTTTTGCATTAACATATAATATTATATCTTGAAAAATGTGACGTAGTTGTTACGCTTCTGTTCGTTTCCAAACTAACAATAAAACTCTCAAGTTATTAATCATCCCAAGAATATTAAAATTCAATCAATAATATTATAAACAAAAAATATTTCCGCACTACTTTTGTATAAAGGTGAAGTCCTTTCTCCATAATATTATATCCTAAAAAATTGTGACGTAATTGTTACGCTCTGTTTCGTTTCCAGACTTAAATTTATATAAATTTATTATTTATAATACTTTTAATAGCGTTTTAAAACTACATCACAAGAGTATTAAAATTTAATAAATAATATTATATTAAAAAATATTTCCACAACTTTGAATAAAGATCAGCCATGTCCTTTCTTTATTTATTTACATTTTTAAATAGAGTTGTCTACAATAAAATAACTACATTTTGCACCAAATACATACACAAATCTTATTTTATCATATATATACAATTTTTTTCTTACCCCTGGTTGGCCTCCTCCTTTTCCTTAGCGTGTATCTTCATATGCACCAGCAACGAGCTCGATTGCGTGAACCACTTCCCACAGGTCGTACACTGGTAAGGTTTTTCACCGGTATGAGACCTCATATGCAGCCTAAGTTATAACTCTTCCTAAAAGCCTTTGAGCACAACTTGCACTGATACTTGTACAACCCTGTATGGGTCCTCTCATGGAGTCCTAAGTCCCTCATATTGGGGAACCCTTCACCACAGTCTTTGCACAGATACTCGTGAGGTTTGCCATTGGGTTGCAGAGGCACGAATGGTAATCCGTTTTCTAGTAAGGCAGAGGGAAGTGTGGACGCGGTGATGGGTCTAAGTGGTGTCTAGGAAGTATGTCTGGTGTTACCAGGAGTTTTGGGATTGTTGGAGGTATTGTTTTAGGTGCTGGTGTGGTTTTAGGCGCTGGATTGTTTTTGGGTGCTGCTGGTGCTTTTGGGTGCGTAGACGTGTAGTTTTGTGCAAGTGGTTCTGGATATGTGGCTCTGGTTGGATCCAAGTATCGTATCAGTTGATTGTGGGCTTCCATTAAAGTTTGTTGTCTGGACAAGTAGTCTTGGTGAAGTTTTGGGATCCGTCATGGATCCAGGACTGCTTGGTAAAGGTTGTCCTGGTGAAGAACTTAAGGATGAGTCAACATCCATCATTCTGTCCCTTGGCAGATGCAGATCTTGTGAGATGACACCGTTGGGAGTGTAACAGTTATCATCACCTGCAAAGAAATAAAGCATTGAAGGGAATGCTTTTAAGCAAACCAGACTTAGGACTCGCGGATACCGCAGTTGGACATTACTTTAAGGGGGGAGGATCTAGAATTCTGTTCTTTTCTCACTTTTATTAATAAACCTTTATTATTCTTCTAATTTATGCCATTAGCTCTCACATTTTATATAAAAAGCAAGTCTATGATGACTTCTGTAGTGAATGTTTCTTAAAACTAGGTGTAAGTGGCATTTTGCCTTAAGTCTAAGTGTTATTTACGACTCGACTTCATCAATAATAAATGAGATTCATCAACTTTCCACTAGTTTTGTTCAAAAAATAGCTTTTGCTTACCAAGTCGTCCCAACCTAATACGACGCTTTCTTGTATGTTTATTTGATTTTTATGATCAAAACTAGATGTAAGTGGCACTTTGCTTTAAAGCAAGTTGCATAAACGTGCCAATATAAAAAAATTAAGATAAATGATTGTAATCGCAAGGGTTACTTTAATATAGACTTAGTATGTAGCATCTATATTTGTTTCTCACGAAGTAAAGAATAGAATTCTATAGCCTCCCCCCATAAAGTGATCTCAAAGAGTGGTTTCCATGGGGACAAGGAGCAAAAGAAAAATGATAGAATCTTGTTCAAAAAAGGTCTTTTATAACAAAACTCAAGATACCTACTTAACTAATTAATGAACTAAAAAATTGAGTTGGATGAAAATGTAGCTAATTTAATTATCTGTATTTATTTTTCACAAAACATTGAGCTAAAAGGACTTTTAGTAACTTAAAATCGATTTTAAAGACTAGTCAAGTAGTAGACAGTTATTTTAGCATAAAACTTAAACTAATTAATAAACTAAAAAATAGTTTTAGATAAAAATGTAGCTAATTAAATTATCTGTATTAGCTAATTAAATTATGTGTATTAGTTAATTAAATTATCTATAATTGTTTCTCATAAAGTACATAATAATTAATAAATAGACTTCTAGAGCCTCCCTCCTTGAACTACTTTTGGTAATTGAGGAATAAAGAATAATTAATGAAGAGACTTCTAGAGCCTTCCCCCATAAACTACTTTTGGTAATTGATGAATGAAGAATAATGAATGAATAGATTTCTAGAGCCTACCCCCCATGAAGTAATAACAATATAGTTGATGCTAGAATGAAAATTATGTAAAAGGATAGAATCTTGTTAAAAAAAAAGATATTTTTAGAATAAAACAGAAGATAATTACCTGAAAAAGTGATAAAAGTATAAACTTATGTTAGATAAAATTGAAGGTAATTGAATTATCTGTATTTGTTTCTTACAAAATTTATAGCCAAAACTCCTTTTAGTAACTTAAGGGGGGCGATACATGTAACAAGAAAAAAAAATCGATTTTTTTTTTCATAAATCGTTACAATAACATCTCAAAAATATGCCTGTAAATATTCAAAACAAAATTATCATTATTTATACAATAAAAACTCATTTAAGTGCCATGCCTCAACTTGACGCTTGAGTGCTATTGTACTCTTATCTGTTTCTGTGTCAAAACTTTAAACGCGTTTTTCTCAAAACGACGTTTTTGAAATTTGCGGGCGTGATAACTCAAAAAGTTCTCAACCGATTCTAATGAAATTTTGCACACATCTACTTTACAGTAACAGCTTCTAGTTAAACCTCAAACATTCCAAAAAAATTTTCAAAAATTAACCCTTTTACCAAAAAAAACCATTGAAAAAAAGGTGAAAAATCGAACTTTTTTTTCTGAGGTGTGCCAATTTACGATTTTGTGACTTTTTAAATTTTTTTTTTGGTTTAACTAGAAGATATATGTTTTATGAACACGTACAAACTAATTTTTTTGATTTCAAATCACCGTACGAAAAGTGAGAACGCCCGCAAATTGATGGCGTTTTCCGAGAGGGTCTTGGCAGATTTATTTTTACGGCAGCCATTTAAAAAAAAAAATTAAAAAAAAATTTTTTTTTGTGTATTTTAATATATAATAAATAACCCTAAAAAAGTTCAAAAAGATTCAGTCATTCCTTCCCAGTTTAAAAAGTCCTCAAAAAATGGTAAAAATTAAGGCGATTACATGTATCGCCCCCCTTAAAAGAGATTTTAGGCTGACCCTTACAAAAAATATATTGAAAAATCACATCGTTAGCTATATTACTATTATCTTTACCTGAAAAACTATCATCCTTCTGACCCTTCTTCTTCTTCCCCCCACTTTTCTGGTTCGTATGAGTCTTCATATGCACCGACAAGGACTGTTTTTTGTGAAAACGATTTATCACACACAGCACAAGTGTACGGGCGTTCCCCCGTATGAGATCTCATATGAATCCTCAAATAACTGGACCGAGCAAAAGGCTTATGGCACTCCGTACAACTAAACGGACGTTCACCTGTATGTATCCTAGCATGACTGGATAAAGACTTCTTTTGTGTGAAGGATTTGTTGCAGATTTTGCAGGAGTATGGGCGTTCTCCTGTGTGTGATCTTGAATGCACACAAAGATAAATAGATCTCGAGAAGGATTTTAGGCAGACTTTGCATTGGTATGGTTTTTCACCTGTGTGTATACGTCTGTGTTCTGCTAAGCCGGTTGCTTGGGAGAACAGTTTGTGGCAGTATTCGCATTCGTGCTGGACATGACCATCTGGTGTCTTGTTTAACGAAGGACCGTGGAAGATTCTTATGTGTGCACTTAAAGACTGCTTAGATGGAAATGTCTTATCACATTTTTCACAAGGCAGTTGTAAAACTGGTAATTGTAAAGTTTTGCTTGAAGCTGGAGTATACATTTGTTGTTGATATTTACCACTGTTTGAATTATCTCTATCGCATTCCTCGACTTGCATTTGAAAACTGTAAAACAAGTTAGTCTCGTCACTATTTTCACAATGAATTTCCTCGTTTCTTGAAAATCTGTCGTTTTTGGTGTAAATATTAGTCCTGTTCTGTTGTGAGGTTAGGTTTTGGTTTTTATGGTTCAAATTATTCTGTAATCTGTGTACGCTTTCGTAAGCACGAGACATTGTTAATTAGACATTAATTGATAATAATAATCACTTAGTAATTACCAAATTGACAGATTTTTGATAAAATTTACTTTTTTGGCAGACATGGCGTCTGTTTGTGTATAAATAGAAAAGTGACAGCTGGTTAAAAGTGAAGCTGTCAACGGATTCAATATGGCTGACGAAAGCGCTAAATTTGAATTTAGAATTTGAAATTTAAGTTGTGAGTAATTTAAACTTTCGTAAACACGATACATTGTTAATTTGGCATTATTTGATAATAATAATCACTTAGTAATTAATAAATTGACAGATTTTTAATAAAATTCACGTTTTTATCGTAATAGAAAAGTGACAGCTAGTTCAATGTGAAGCTGTCAACGAATTCAATATGGCGGACGGAAGCGCGAAATTTGAATTTGAAATTTAAATTGTGAGTTGTGAGTTTTAGTTAACAATTTTAAACTAAACAAAAATAAATGTACATTTAAAAATATAAAATATACAATTACAACATTGAAAACAGTTGTTTTGTACGCCGACTCTTTGTAGAAATGACCCTAAAATGTTTTTCTTGAAACAGTAAAAAAAAAAAACACAATGAGTCAGTCAGAGTCAAAAATAAAAACACTTAATAACATTATTTTTATTAATTTATTGTTCTATTGCACATATACATATATATTTATAATAACATTTCTAATACTAATTACCTAAATATTAGCCCAAAATTTAATTGCACAATTCTGTTACATTTTTGGAGTATACCGAGAGTTCTAGAGTCTCTGTTGTAAGACGATATTGTAGATAATATAATTTTAAACAAATTTGTCAAGTACATCATTCATATTAATCGAATGGTTTTAAAGTTACAAGAGAAATAATAAATAAATGCGTTTTTGTTGCTATATATAGTACGGTGGGCTAATATGGTTAAATCTAATCTATTGCTAATTTTTTGGTTTTATTGCTGCATTTAATTATATATATGTATGTACATTATTGCTATTATTAATTAAATAATATATACATGATTAATTAATTAAAATTAAAACTACAGTAACGTTAAAGAAGTTGCTACATTAAAATTTATATATATATATATATATATATGTGTGTGTGTGTGTGTGTGTGTGTTTATCTATAAATATTGCTTTACATTTATTTATTTTTATTACTTATTTCTTTATTCAATTTCAACTTCATCACTGTCACTAGAACCATCACTACTGGTCGCATCATTTATATTAACTTTATTTTTAATAACTCTAAACTCTTTTTATCATCACTATTTTCTAAATCATTTTTCACTGATGAAGGCCTTTGTTTGTCTTCTCTTTGCCTCGAAACGTCGGCTGCAGTGTGTAACTCCGGCACAGGAGGGCAGCACATGTACGAAAGAGCGGCGGGGTTGGCTGGAATTGAAGGGTTGTTTAGAGGTTATAGAGTATTGGGGTTGAATTTTGATGTTAAGGAGGTGTTTAGAGGGATGTTTTGGCTGGAAGTTGGTGAAGAGTTGAGGTCGATCAGTGTAGTTGTTAAGGAGTTGTGAGAGTTGGAAAGAAAAAGTGTCTGGTGGTGTACTGCGTTTTTTGTTTGGTGTGGTTGGGTTTGAAGGCGTTTTTGGGATATAAGGAGTTGTTGTGGTACATTTGGTTGTATCAAAATGTACACGTGTTCTGATATGATTATCAACAGAAGATTTGTATATAAGTATATGTTCTACTAATTGTTATTAACTAATTTTGAACAAATCAAATAATATATACATATATAAAAATATTTATATATATATATATATAATATATATATAAATATATTTTATTTTATAAAATTACCTGCATAAAGTTGCAACTGCTGCTGATAAACTTGACTCAAGACATCATTGGATGAATAATCTACAAAACGTGTTACCGGTGATAATTGTTGTCTGCAATTAAAAATTTGAACAAAAAATTACAAATATGTGATAAACAATTAATATTGTACAAAAAATAGCAACATCTGGTGATTTTCATCAAAATTTACTCAATTTTTTCATATAGAGCATATTTATCCATTTCACAGTGTTGTCATTGCTGAGCTTGATTTTTAATAACATTTTTTAAAATATACTGATTTGATTGCTGTAGGGTGGTATAATATTAGACAATAACATAGACGATTTAATACCGTGCATATCTTCTGTATACATCATTAAACGGTTTGAAAGTTACAAGAGAAATAATAAATAAAAGTGCAAAATATTTGATGATGACTGATGAGTCTGTTATTAAAAGCGATTTTGAAGTACACCGAGTTGCTGTAAGTCGCCATAATATTAGACAACTTCATAAACGATTAAATTCTGTACCAATCTCCAAAAATCGCCATCTACATTAAACAACCGGTTTAAAAGTTGCAAGAAATATAATAAATAAATCTACATCCTCCTCCTTACCTGTAAAGTAGCTGCTGATTCAGCAGCTGTTGCTGCAGGATCTGCCTCATCTGACTGCTGTCGCCTTGTCGGCTGTTTCCGTACAAGTTCGTGCCCGAGTCGAAGTTTAACGAAGTTGCATTCGGATTTAGAATTTGGTGATGGTGATGGTGGTAGTCGACTGGTGCGTTTTGCTGGTTAGAATGTACGAGGACTTTGACGGCGACGCGTTTTGCTAACATTGCTGATTCTTGGAGCTGGAAGTAAAGGAAACTGGGTTGTAGTAGGGGGTTGGGGTTGAGATATGTTATACTGTGATGTGTCTAGTATGATGACAAATACTAAAATTGATGAGTTTTCTTACAAACATTTGAGATTTTTACGTACTGTTTGAAGTAAGTTCATGAAAATTAACCATGTTATAATTTAATATGACTACTAGGATACCAAATACTAAAATTGATGAGTCTTTTACAATTTTTTTAAATACTCGTATTTTTCTGAGAAACGTACCTACACGAACGACTTTTATCAAATATGAAAAGAGTGACGCGTTTTTCAAGAGCTCTGCAGGACGTTCTATTGGTACTAGGATATAGTAACTTCAACATGTTATACTTTAACATGTCTACTACGATAACAAATACTAAAATTGATAAGTCTTTTTGCAAAATTTGATTTATTCGTATTTATCTAAGAAACGTACACGAACGACTTTGATCAAATGTGAAAAGCGTGAAGCGTTTTCCAAGAGCTCTGCAGGACGTACTATTGATACTAGGATGTAGTAACTTTAACATGTTATACTTTAATATGTCTACTATGGCAACAAATACTAAAACTGATATTTTTCCACTCACTTGTAACTGTTTTCGTTTAGTTTTATATCTTCGGTTCTGGAACCAAATCTTGACCTGCGTTTCTGTCAGTCTGAGTGCTTTAGCCAACTCTGAACGTTCGGGGCCACTTAGGTATCTCTGGGTGGAAAAACGACGTTCCAATTCGTAAACCTGGGAAATAAAAAAATAAAAATATAAATCAATAAATAAATAAATAGGTAGATAGATAGATATATACTTAGATAGGTATATAAACAAAATAGATAGATAGATAAATAGAAAGGTAAACAAATAGATAGATAAAGCAATGGATAGATAAATAAAAAAAAATATAATTAATTATTAATATATTAATAATAAAATTAATTTATAAGTAAAAATGTATCTTCTGAACTAAAAAATTCAAGTTATAAAAAAATTTGTTAGTCCATTTTTTTACCTGTGCATGACTGAATGCGGCCCTGGATCTCTTTTTTCGACAAATTGGCGAAATCGATTCACGAAATCTGTCCTGATGTAAGTTTGACATCGCTGAATCGCTATCTGGAAGAAAATTGAAGTTAAACTTCTTTAAGTTTGTGCAATCATAGTTATTGAATTATTTTATGTATTAGGTGTATTAATTTATTATATCGCTTGTAACTTTTAAACCATTTGATTAATATGAATGACGTATTAGAGTAATTTGTTAAAAATTCAATTATCTAACAATCTTTCTAACAATATAAGTCCTTAGAGCAAGTCGGTATGCTCCAAATTTGAGTTCAAACCTTGCATACCAATTTCAAACCTTGCATACCAATTTCATATTGTTATAGTGTCAATAGTTTACGCATTCATTTATTATAGCTATTGTAACTTCAAAACCATTCGATTAATATGAATGATGTATCAGACAAATTTGTTTAAAATTAAATAATCTACAGTATTGTCGAATATCAAAAACCTCTACAACAACTCGGTATACTCATAAAGGTCAATAGAAAATGAAATATATTTATAACTTGCATATTAGGCTAATGGGTGCTAATTTTACGTAATCGCTGATGATGACAGTCGAAACGTTTTTGTATTGAAACGGTGAATCAAGGGTTGTGTAATATATATATATATATATATATATATATTATATATATATATATATATATATATAATGGTGCCAGGTTGTGCCACCTGTAATTAGTTAATGCCTAAAAGTGTTGTGTAACACCTTTATGGTGTCATTAGGGATGAAAATAAAAAATTAGGGGTAGCAGTTTCTCTTCTATGGGAAAAACTTTTTAAAAAAGCTTTTTATCAAATAGTAATTTAGGTAATGGATTTGTGGAAGAATATTTATGAATATATTTATATATGTCTTTGTATACAGTAGAACCCCGTTAAGACGATTTTCTCGGGACTAAAAACGAATCTTGCACGAGACAATTAGACCGGCATGGAGTGGCGTATTATGCGTTAAAGTTTATAGAGCATAATCGTCTTAAGCAGGTTCTACTGTATATAAACATTAAACCAATATAAAATAAACACTTAATAATTAGTTGTTGCAAAAATAGTTTAGATTCTTTTGCCATTATTTTTCATTTTAATTGCGTTTTCCGAGTAGGTATACCGAGTATACCGAGTTGTTGTAGGGTATTTTGCTCTGAGACAATATTGTAGACTATTTAATTTAAAACTTTTCTATATGAATAATGTATTTGAAAAATATATTCACAAATAAATACTTTAAAGCTTTGCATAATTATTCATTTATATTTATTATTATTATTATTAATACTATTCTTACCAGAACTATCCTGTAATATGTGATTCCGTCTCATATCCAAAGCTTGGTCTTCGTTTTGCCCACCAATGGTTTTATCCCCAAGATAGCTCTTATTCGACAGATAAGAGTTATCTGACTCTTTAGTGATATTATTGTTTTTATGTCTTCTTGTTAAAATATCGGCGATTGAAAACGGTGTGTGTGTTTGTATAGAAGTGTTTGCTGTATTTGCCATTATTGAAAAGATACAAAATATTTTTGGAAAATGATTTTTGAAAAAAATTGGTTTGAGGTGTTTGCAGTAAATGCACTTGTTGATTTATTTTAAATAATATATATTTTTTACTAATATTTAAAACATTTAATATGAATTTTATTAACGGTTAATGTCTAACAAAAATGTTTTATTTAAAATTATATAATTATTTTTTTTAATGTTCAATCTTCTCTATCGTCTTCACTGCAAAAAAAAATTAATTTTGTCAAAAATAAAATTATTAAATCGGAAATTATTTTGATGTATACAAAATGTGCTTAAATGTGTATAAATGTATGTAAAATGTGCTTAAATATATATAAATGTATACGAAATGTGTATAAATGTAAAAATGTGCATGAATGTGCTTGAATGTGTATAAATGAACACAAATTGTGCTTAAATGTGTATAAAGGTATGCAAAATGTGCTTAAATGTGTATAAACGTATAAATGTGCATAAATGTGCTTAAATGTGTATAAATGTATACAAAATGTGCTTATATGTATAAATGTGTACAAAATATGCTTAAATATGTATAAATGTGTGCAAAATGTGCTTAAATGTGTATAAATGTAAAAAAGTGCATAAATGTGTATAAATGTATACAAAATGTGATTAAATGTGTATAAATGCATACAAAATGTGCTTAAATGTGTGTAAATGTATACAAAATGTGTTTAAATATGTATAAATGTTTAAATGTGCATAAATGTGCTTAAATGTGTATAAATGTGTACAAAATGTGCTGAAATGTAAGTGTGTATAAATGTACCCAAAATGTGCTGAAATATGTATAAATGTATACAAAATGTGCTTAAATGTGTATAAATTTGCAAATGTCTATAAATGTGCTGAAATGTGTATAAATGTATGCAAAATGTACTTAAATGTGAATAAATGTGTATAAATATATACAAAATGTGCATAAATGTATATAAATGTATACAAAATGTGCTTAAATGTGTATAAATGTATGTATTCAAAATGTGTTTAAATATGTATAAATGCATACAAAATGTGCTTAAATGTGTATAAATGTATAAATGTATACAAAATGTGCTTAAATGTGTATACATGTATAAATGTATACAAAATGTGCTTAAATGTGTATAAATGCATACAAAATGTGCTTAAGGGTATATAAATCTATACAAAATGTGTATAAATGTATAAATGTGCATAAATGTGCTTAAATGTATATAAATGTGTACAAAATGTGTATAAATACGTATAAATGTGTATAAATGTATACAAAGTGTGCTTAAATGTGTACAAAATGGGCTTAAAGGTGTATAAACGTGTACAAAATGTGCTTAAATGTGTATAAATGTTTTCAATTACCTGTTTATAAATGTTTTATAAAGTTTGAATGTGTATAAATGTGCACAAAACTATTTATAAATATGTTCAAATTTGAATAAATTAGTGTCTTCATATAAATGTGAGTTCTAATGTATAAAAATATGTATAAGAGTTGTAAAACATGCATGAATGTATATTAAATGTATATTAGTGTGTATAAATGTTTAAAAGAATTT